ACCCTAACCCTGCACGCTGTTACCATTGTTACTGCTGTCACGCGACTGCTTTTTCGTCAGGCCTGCTTATTTATCAGCTAGACTTCTTCGATGGTCGTTCTATTATTCGCCGTCCGTGAACGCATGGTCTAGCCAGCAGCTGAGCTAAGGGGCGAACCCATCTTTTTGGGGACGAAACTGTTTTGGTATGGACATAGTAAGAATGACATCGTCTCCCGAACCGGTGCTGTTCACAATGTTTTCACAATCTGTGGAAATCCCCTATGGGCTCGACGCGACATCTCCATTGTCATTAAAGTCTCTCTTTGCCGAGCATCAGTATTCCGTTAGTCTTGCTATGCGACAGTGAGTGATCAACTATGTTTGTGGAAGATGAACAATTCCGCAGGTGTTTAACCCCACTGTTACTGCCGGGAGACCAGACGTTGAGTGAAATATATTGACGTTGTTTCGATCGAGATAGTTTGCATTAGCCGTGGCATTGCTAGAATACGTCAGCGCATTCAAGAAATTCGATTGAGAATGCTCGGTTGTGTTAGTCGTCATCCTCTGCTTGAGCTGAGTGTTGCTTCCCCCAAACCATAGGAGTTGCCTACCTTGAAGCGTTCACAAGCTAGCATGCTATTTAGTTAGGTAAAATAAGTATTTCTAATCTGACAATAAGTTTATATGGAACGAAAATTATTGAAACCAAATGAGTTCCCGGTGCATAGAATCATCAAATGCTCAGCAGCAGGACTGACTGCAAGCCTTATCAAATAATTTCTAAACAAAAGCCGTACTTTTTCAACAACAACAGCAGTTAGATGACAAGCTTTGATGTCAAATCCAACTACCGGGTTCGACAATAAAAAAAAGGACGAATTAAGGTACACTTTTAGTGTCGCCCGTTTCTTCTGGATTTTTACAGCAAGTCCCGATTTTACGAAGCTTGGTTCGGTTATTGTTTCATCGAGGAATCCTTGGTTGAACGCGGTAAAACCAAACCTTTTGATGTTTGGACTATATTACTATCTGAGAACTTGACCACACTGCGTTGCAAACCTGTACAGTTTGACCGTTGCCCTATCCAGTTAAACATTTGAACTAGTATTTCGTTAGGTTCCAATTCCACCAAAAAGAACTGTGTGATTACTTCTCAAATGCTGTGTCCGTTTGTCAGACTTTTGTTTAGCTGTCCGAATACTGTACATTCACATAGTTGATTAATGTTCACTAATCGCAAACGGAACTCACTCGTTCTGCCTTGGCTCTCATTCTCATGTTCCGCTAGCAGCTGCACAACGATTAATGGCGTAGGCAGATATCATTGCCGGCGATAAAAAGGGAAACTGGAATTGCCATTTCTGGCTTATTAACCGTCGTCAGTCAGTCATACCCACCCGAGAATCGAACCCGCGACCTGTTGGGATCGGAAATCCAACGCTAATGTTGGGCCACGGGATCGTTGTCCCGCCGGTTTAGATATTGACACCCATTAATCCATGTTTATCGATCGCTAACGGAACGACCATCCCCTCATCCTGTCGTTTTACTATATCTCTTCAGAAACCCAGAGTTCACCATGAATCGGAACACCTGGCGCAGTCAGAAGAGGACACAGTTGAAATTGAACTGGCTTCCCAATTTTACGCCTGGCTTGGTTCACTCAACGCCACGGAGGAGAGCGAAAATAGCCAACGAGAAAAGTAGATATCTCCATTTTTTTCTAATTTACGTGGATTTCAGCGAACTTTTAGCAGATTTTGATCGTCAGGAGACATACTGCCTATCTATACTTTCGCGCACGGACGAAATTCTGGCTAAGCTACGGGAATTAAAAGAGAAGTATGACTTGGTTTCCCAAAAGACCAGCAGTCTACATGAGACCTGTGAAAGTATCCTCCAGACGCAGGTCAG